TTGTAAAAATTATCAAATTAGTCAAATTTTTAGTACCAAGTTGATAATTTGTTGATTTTAGGGGTGTTTTGTCACAAAGCAGAAGGAACTACTAGTCCCAGATGCTTTGGACAGCTTACAAGACTTATCTATTAAACACAAGGCGCTACTAGCCACTAGTCCCCTTGTGCTTTGGATAGCTGACAAATAGCTTTATAAGCTGTCTAAAGCATGCGAGGACCAATAAGTCCCTTGTGCTTTCCACAAGTTTTTTTTAATGTACAGTAATACCCTAAGATAGTCTATGCAAACATTCATAATACATCAAAAATTCTCAAACTTAATATCCACACCAAAAGCATATTTAAATCAAAGTAAAAGTATAAATGCATATATATTCATATGAAATCCACAATACATTCCGTCCAATCATCCTTACAGTTGCATAAATCCATACAAAGGACAAATTTTCAAAACCGACCCATTTGAGTTTTTATTTGCAAAAAACGACCCGTTTCTAGGATATTTGTAAAAACCGACCTGGTTTCAGCGTCAGCGCTGAAACCAGGTCGGTTTTTGAAAAAAAAAATCCGAAACTTCACGGGAGTTTTTTTTTTTGAGAAAAAGGATGGATTATCACAAGGATAATCCAGCCAGGTAAATTAACAAAAAAAGGTTGTTACAAAAGAAACATACACACCCCCAACCAAGAGTGTGTATTAAGTTCATGATCAAGATTACAAAGCAAAAGTAAAACCCAGCACAAGTCTGTATATAGCTATAGGTCTCTGTTCATGATCAAGATTACAAAGCAAAAGTAAAACCCAGCACAAGTCTGTATATAGCTATAGGTCTCTCCCACAAAAAGAAGACCATGATCAAAAACCAAAAACTAAAAGTTTGGATATCATGGTGTTTTTCTTATTGTGTTTTTGTAAAAAAACACCATGATGTTGTGTTTTCCCTTTAAAATATTTTCAAAACACCATGTTAAGTTTTTGGTCAACACTAGTTTGACCCATTATAACATTAGTATTAAACATATTATTAATATATTATATATTAATTATATTAAAATATATTATAAATATATTATAAATAAAATGTTATCATATTTAGTTTATATTATTATAGTATTATAAGTATTAAATGTAATGTAATATAATATTGTATAATGTATTATAATATTATAGTATACTTTAATGAGTTATATTGTTTTATAATTATTACATATTAATTTCAAATAATTATATATTTAATTATTTTGGTATATCAATTTGTTATTTTTGTATATTACATTAATATTTTTATAATAATGTTATTTTATTATTAATATGATATTATAATGTTATTAATATAATATAATATTATACTTATTATTTATATAATATAATATTATTAATAATGTTAATATTATAATATTACTTATTATTATATTGTTATGTTATTATTAAATATGTTACTATTATATAATATTTTATAATTATTATTTTATTACAATTTATTTATTAAAAAATTAATAATATTATAGCGATTATACTATTGTATAGTATATTATTATTTATTATCAATAACTTTTTTATTATTTTTATTAGTTTATTTTTATTTTATTATTATTTATTTATTATATAATACATTATTAACATATTAAATATTTATTATATAATACATTATTAACATATTAAATATTGGTATTTAATATGTTATTATATTATTATATAAGATCTTTTACTTATTATATTTTTATATTATTTAATAAATATTACTAATATATTAGATTAACTATAATATAGTATAATATAATATAATATAATAAGCATGTTAATAATAACTGCATATTAATTATATTTAATATATTATGTTAGATATTATATTAACATTTTCTCAAACTCAAAACCAAAACACCAAACTTAAAACACCTAAAAGGTGTTTTGAAATAAATGTTGTGTTTTTTGTTTAAGGATGATTTAGCTCAAAAAACATCATGGTTTTCAAACGCATGGTGTTTTGTTTTTGGCAAAAACACCATGGAAACAAGTAAAACACCATGATATCCAAACGGAGCCGAAACTATCCAAAGTTTTAAAACACAACCACCAGATAAGCTCAAAACAACACCAGAATTGAATGTGCATCATTCTAGCTGGATCACCTCATCTCCCATAGCTCTGTTCTCTTAAACCACTGAAGATTGAGTTTAATCCAGTTGAATCACGATGTTGTTCTCCTCCCCTGTAGCTCTAGCTGGCTGTAAATCTCCCAGTCTCTCATTCCTCTTCATTCTTCGTGCTAACAATCTGGCCGCTCTATCTGAGATTGTAGAACCTAGCCAAAATGTAGAAAAAGTCATAATCTTATTCAAAATCTCCAACGCTCTCTTCTTCTTGTTAGAGAAGAGTCTATCATTACGTTCCTGCCATATGCACCAAATAAGAGCACAAAAGATAACGTCTCTTTCCATCTTGCATTCCTTATTTCCCCCAGCAGTCCAATTAATCCAAACTTCTTTTAAAGATTTCATTTTGAAGTCTTTCCCAATTTTTAATTTGAACTGAATAGATCTTCACAGTGAGAATACAAACTCACATTCAATAAACAAATGAGAATGACTCTCTTCAACTTTAGAACACAAAACACAGTTCAGCTCTAACTGAATTCCTTTTTTAGTCAAAATATCTTTTGTATTTAAACTCTGTCTTAAAGCTAGCCAAACCATAAGTTTCACTTTTAAAGGAATGGAAAGCTTCCAGATATCTGCACAATCAGAACGTAAACCTCCATCAATAACCATCAATAAGAAATTGATAGAAAGATTTAACAGAAAAAATACCATTTGTTTCCCACAACCAGATTCTGCTGTCTTCTTTTTGATCAAAAATTATGTCCTTGATGAGATTCAATAAATCCAAAAACTGAAAAAACCAAACTTCCTGTCAATTGCCTCTTGAACTTAATATCCCATATCCAGTTGTTATTCCTTTTTTTCCTCAGATTGCTAACAGAAAACTTCACGGGAGTTGAACTCCCGTGAAGTTTCTTAGTTCAAAAATAAATTTTTTGAATTGTGAAACTTCACGGGAGTTGAACTCTCATGAAGTTTCAGATTTTTTTTTTCAAAAACCGACCTGGTTTCAGCGCTGAGGCTGAAACCAGGTCGTTTTTTGCAAATTTGTTTGAATGGGGTCGTTTTTTGGCAATAAATTCCTAAATGGGTCGGTTTTGAAAATTTGTGCCCATACAAACATCCGTACTATACTACCATCACGACATCCATTCGTCCTTGTGTTCTTTGAAAACTGCCACCGTGATGGATAATCAATCTTGTATAATCCGACACCCCTACAACATAATATCTCACATTATGCTCCCAACAAAATTTTCTTGCTTTCTTTTAAAATTACCACAAGTTGGAGGAAAATATCGCAATTAAGAAACAAATTTAGTCTTGAAATTGAATTTTTAGTTAATCTATAAAGGTAACTTCCTCTTCAAATATACCCCCCTTTGTAGCAATGCATTAAATAGGCAAACAATTGCAAACAAATGTTTCATGTAATGGAATAAGTTAAGCATAAAATTGATATAACTAATTTTTATTCCGATTTTTAGCTCTCCTGTAAAAAAAAACCTAATCAAACTTCAATGCAAACCCTAATCCCATTTCCCCCCTAATTAGACTTCCACACTATATAAAATCAATCAAAGAGGTGACTTTATCTTTAGAAATGAATCGCCAAGATTTGAACCTTCAAAATTCGACTATTTCCCCCTAATTCGAAACCTTAGAATTAAGACCACCTGCTTTACTGAGCTCTTTGTATTCCTCAACTAGAACTTTAGGGGAGAGAGAGTGTGCGAGAAAGAGAGATTTTAGAGACATGAAACCCTATTTTTACATTGTATAACTAAGAGAGAGATTTTTAGGAAATCGATGGCAATTGTAAAGTTTTGGATGTTTTTACCGCCATGTAGAAGGGTATTTCTATCTTTTAAGGTTAAATTTAATGCAATTAAACATATTCACACGGTGAAAATTTTGGGTAGTTTTCTGCTCGGCTCTGAAAATTAAGGCATTTAACGCCTCGTTTGGTACGCGGGAATGAGGAGGAATGGAATGCAATTCCCACTTCTCATTCCCTCATACCAAACATACCTATATTTTAGATGTTGGAATGACCATTCCCTAGGAATGATCATTCCCACTATTTGTGGGAATGAGCATTCCAAGTGAGAAGATAAGGAATGGTCATTCCCATTCAAGTGAGAATCAAAAACTAGTTAGGTATTTTTCAATTATATCGATCCATATTAATAATAAAGAATGTTTGGGTGAGCCGCTATGCAAGTGGGCAATTTTAGATTGACAATTTAGTCTAGTATATCATTTTGCTATTTCGAAACTTATTATTTTAGTTGGTATTGTTTTATGGATTTTTGCTATTATGAATTGAGTGATTTTGATACTTTATCAAATAAGTTAATTTATATATCTAGAACTGTGGATTGTGGATATCATTCTTTTTTTTTGAACCTATGAAAGATACGATAATCTTTTTTTTTCTTTAATTTTTAAGACTAAGAAATAGCGAGTATTGTTTAAAAAATATAAACGAAACATACACCTGATGGATAACACGAGCATTAGTATAACACATACCTAGATTAATATAACATATGCGTATATAAAATTATTTAGTTATTATCATTAATGTTTATTTTTTATCTTATTAAAAATCTATGTTGTTGTAATGGCATTATTAGAAAATGAGATTTCATTCTCACTTGTGTGCTAGTGATACTAAACATGGGAATGGGAATGAGATTTCCATTCTAGCTTCATTCTACGAACGCACCCAAACAAGAGAATGAGAATGACCATTCCATTCCCACATGCAATCCATTCCATTCCTTCTTCCATTCCATTCCCAAGTCTGTCCATTCCCGCGTACCAAACGAGGCGTAAGTGCTTTGTTGGAAAATAATATAATATTTAAATGCAATTAAGCCCAAAAAAAGAGACAAAAACCCATCCGAGACCCAAAACAAAAAAACTCGATCCTCAAAATTACCATCAGATCTCAACTCTCCCTACTCAAAACCCTTTTCCTATCTGATCTCCCAATCTCGCGTCTCCGATGAAGCTCGCCGGCGGCGGCGGCGGTGGAATCACAGTCCCCGCCCTCGTCCTGCTCTCCTTCTCCTCCGCCGCCCTCCTCCTCTTCCTCCTCCTCCCCTCCCTCTCCCCCTCGTCCTCCCCCTCTTCGTGCCCCGATCCATCGCCAGATCGAACCTCGACCGTTCGTCCACCGAGAAGCGTTCAGATCTCGACCACGCAAGAGGATGTCGAGTGGTTGAAATCCCAAATCAGGATCAACTCGCTGCCGGATCCGCCTGCGACGAGGGAGGAGTGGTATCAGTTGAGGAAGGGGATCAACCCCAGGACTCGGGAGCAGCAGCTTCAAGATCTCAGGAGGTAAGTTCACCGGTTGGTAAGATTTGGATTCTGAGAGAGGTACGAAATTGGGATTGAAATCCAGGAAACCAGTTACTTACGTCAGTGGTAGTCCCTAGTAAGTGTTGATACCCCCATTTGCAGGTTTAGAGTTTAATTAACTGCAATTAGAGTCAGCCTGAAGGTTTTCTTGGGATGCTATTTTGGAGAAGTAATCGATCTTTGTGTGGAAAAGATTGAATCTTGATGATGGCTTCAATGAGTTTGAAGCAGGTTATTGGATGATGGTCTCTGAGATGATACGCACATTTTTTCGTTAAAATGATTGATCCTGGACTTCACTTGCTAAATCCACTGGTTTGAAGTTTATTTACCAGTATTATTATCCAAGTAGTTGCAATTAGACCTAATCATTGGAGTGACCACTAAAGGATGTGGAATTAGATGGCAGGTCACACTCCTGACATTAATATTTTCCTCAAATGAGTGGAAAAAATTGCACGATCATCTAAGATTTTATGTACTCCTCAGTAGATCAATCTATCTGGTCTATGTGTTGGAAATTTTTTAGCTAGTCATGTTTTGCTAAGTTAACACAGCTTAGGGAATTGAAGTTGATAGTTGATACGTTATTAATCTTACCTGAAAGACGTTAATACTGAAACCATTTGCTACCTTTAAGTTTTCTTTTCATCCCTTTCTGTTAAGTGCTTTAAGTAAATAAGCTCACTAGGAAGATCTGTTTATAAATATCTTCTTGTATCTTGACTGCATCCGGTGACCCAGTTATTTATTGTGGTATTTCTCCTGTTATCTTTACTTAAGAGCATACATGAGGAAACAAACGGAACCAGCTTTGAAGCACTTTAGATTACTTGATCAGTTTGACTTGAAATATTATTAGTTCCTGTAGATTGGAGCATAGGATTTGTTTAGTTCATTTACTTAATTTATGAAGTAGTACTGTATTTGGAACCTATTACTAAGATAAGCTCAGAGATACCGCAAACCCACAGGTCACTAAGGGGGGAAAAAGAAGGGGGAAAAAATGGAAAGAAGAGGGAGAGAGATCGTTATTTGATAAAAAGAAAGAAACCTTAATTGATTGCAAGAAATTACCAAGCTTATTGCCTAAAGGTCCTTGTTTGTTTCAGTTACAAAGGAATCTCTCATTATCAAACCGAAACAGAGGAACATACTGCACTTCCTTGCCCTGGAGAGCTACTTGTAGAAGAGCATCACAGCAACTACGGCGAACCATGGGCTGGCGGCCGTGATGTCTTTGAGTTTCTTGCATCTTCAGTCAACCTTGCCCCTTCAGACCAAGTTCTTGAAATTGGATGCGGGACTCTTCGTGTGGGTCTCCACTTCATCCGATATCTTGACCCCTCTCGCTTTCACTGTCTAGAACGCGATGATCTTTCTTTGATGGCGGCCCTTCGTTATGAACTCCCCTCTCAAGGTCTTCTCCACAAGAGGCCTCTAATTCTAAAAGGGGATGATATGGAATTTAGTAGGTTTGGAGATGGAATCAAGTATGATTTGATATATGCAAGTGCTGTTTTCCTTCATATGCCGGGTGACCTGGTTTGGTTGGGGTTGGAAAGATTGGTAGAGAGGCTTAATCCTGAGAAAGGAAGGATCTTTGCGTCTCATAATATGAAGTTCTGTACGAGATTAAGGGGGGAGTGTCCTGAGAGGCTCGCGAAAATTGGGTTGGAGTTTGTTGGGAACCGGACTCATGACAGTTTATTGTTCAATCACTATGAGATTTGGTACGAGTTCAGAAGGGTTAAATCATAGGGTGTGGCAAAGGGTTCCTACTTTGAAGAAGGGATATTGATGGTGGCTCTGCAGTGTGCATTATACTTGGAAAGGAGGCGTTTTTTTCTGCCACTGTTCCTAAGAACATCTCGCTGTGAAACTGAGAAAAGAAAGCTCACGATTCGTAACTAAACAATTCATTTGCTGGAGGTACAACTGCCTCATGCTCATTGTTTCTCCTACTCGGTTACCTTGTAACATGTGAGTGTTTTAGGCACTACGGCTTGCAAATATGTGTTGTATTCTTAACTTCTAAAAAAACCCACATTCGCAATTTTTTACGCTATGCAATTTGGTTAGTGCTCTTGTGAACAACGACGTTGTAAAGTTTGTGTCGATTCTTAGATTGGTTCAACTGTTAGTTAGTTTGCTTTTTTTTTCATCAAAATCTATCGTTTTAGGCGTCTCCCTCTATTTGAGTAAAAAATATTGCGTTGTATGCCCCAAGGATTGAGCATCAATGTTTTTAGTGGATAGAATTTACTGAATAGCTTTTCCTTAACTTAATGTACACCGGGAAGGAAATGCTTTTGTAGTTTTCTCTTCTAATGGCTTCTGCCATGTGCAAACTGGATCCATGATGATGACTCTTCAAAAACTTCAGTTTAACTATTCAAACACTCGCATGTGGGAGGAGGAGCAGCTCACAAGGTTTGTACACATATTTTGGATTTTATACCTTCACCGAACTCTTTTGCAGACTTTCATTTATCTCAGCTTCTCTTTGAAGGGGCTAAAACCAAAGGGTTTGGGGGTTATGCATAAACCCCATATGATGAAAAGGGTTTTTTTCTGAAAAAATCACTGGATGATGGAGGGGGCTACACTATATTCTCCCTTAAACATTCTTACCTTGTGTATGTTATTGAACTGGTAAGTACAAAATTTTAGGCTAAATTGTATAAGAACACCAACATATGGGAGCATGGGGTTTGGACAATTCAGTAGAAGGATAGGGGGATAGTTTCGAGATTTCAACCAGCTCTGTATGGTTGGTTCATAACACCCCACTCGCAGGTGGAGTGTTCTGATAAGATTTGTATATTATTGAACTATGATCGCTTTAATTCATTCTAAATGGGTACACTACGATCAAACTTAGTTTGAATGCGTTCATTGACAAAGGGAATCTATTCAGTCACAAAAGGGTAGAACCCTTCACGTGGGATGTCACAGGATGTCCCTTTAACCTGGTTTTCTTACTTTATTTATTTATTTATTTTGACATGGAGATGAGGAGCATCATGAGAAATCCTTCTAATGAAGAAAAGAGCTCCATATGAGGATTACTTTATAGCATCATTCCAGAACAGCATCATACAACACCAGATACTCCCAGTATCAATACATTTCTACAAAAGGCAAAAGTTCAAGCTCCTTATTTAAAAAGAAGAAGAAGAAAAAAAAGATCATATCTAGGTACATCAAATACCAAATCTACACCCCACACCAAGTAATCAAACACTCAAAACACCTTGAACAGTTAGTAGTATGAAAAAAAATCAATCTAACTCGATACATCACCCGATCCTGCTCACTCTGTCAAGGTTAAAGAATCAAAAAACCCAAACCTGCAACTTCAAAACACACTATTCTTCCTGCTTTCTTTTTTCTTAAATGACATCAGACATCCTCCTTCTATGTTGATTCAATGTAACCCTCAAGTTAGGATGAGAAGCAGAGACCTTCTTGTTCCTAGAAACCGAAGATTTAGGACTATTACCCTCACACGTCACAAGTTTGCTCTTTGATCTCGTAGCACAAGGTTTCATAAAAGTATCAGAGTAGCTGAGAGACTGTGAACTGATTATATCCACATGACTTCTAGTTCCAAATCTCAAAGTCCTCGTTCTTGAATGTGTGTGTTCATTGGCGCTTAGCCTCTGTCGACTTGATACTGTCGGAGCCATGAATCGAGGAACCGAAGAAATGCAAGCTTTGCTTGAATTTTTCTCAGTGGGAGTATCTGACGCTTCTCCTTGAGCTATGATCAGAGGACTTCTTGGTGATCCCTTTTGTTGATTCTTTTCCTGTATTAGTTGTTCAGCTCTCTCTATTTGGTTCCTCACTTTCTGCAAGTCTACTTCAGTGTCTTTTATCTGTAGGTCTAGTTCAGCGATAAGTTTCTCCTTCTGTTTATTCGATTCCTGCAGTTGTGCAGAAATGGTCGAAATTGGTGATAATTTCATAGACAGAATTTTCGTTGGGGTTAATTGTACACGGACCCCCCTGTAGTATCGCTGTTTTGATCTTACTATAGTTTCATTGTTTCAGATAGCGGGCGTTAAAACTACAAAAAAGTTTAACCCAGGGGTCTATCTGCAGCAATGAAATGACAGGGGTAGTAACTAGTAAGTGTAAGCCGATGAATACTACAGGGGGACTACGTGCAATTAACCCTTTTCGTAGAAGTAGGGTTACCTCTGAAAGTTCTTTGTTGTGCTCTATCGCTCTCACTCTTTTTGCGAAGCTCAGAGAACATATCGTCTCTCCAGTATCATTTTCACTAGGACTGATGTGAACAACCATCAGAACTTTTGAACCATCACCTATACAGAACAAATGCATTATTACAAGTTATGGTGCATTAAGCTCATCTAGGCTGGATTTTCAGTTTGCTACCTAGAGAGTCACTGAGAATCTGAGTAAGCTTGCTATTCCTGTGACCATACAATCAAAAGAACAATATCAGAGGTGTCTGGAAACAAATCTGAAAGACCAACCTTGCAAATTTTACTTACCTGTAAGGAATGTGATTTCTTTTCTTCTTCAACGAAGAAATGACATCGCCAAGCGCTGATAACGAAAGATTTATCGCCTTTCCCTCATCTAGTGTTTGCCCAGTAGCACCAGTCTTCAACAGTCGCTCACTTCCTCCAAGATCCACCATCCACAGCTTGGAAACTCCTTCGTGGCCCCCAGAACGTCGAATAGTAATTCTTGTTAAGCTGAACATAAGAAACTATGACAGAAATAATATGTAGAATGATAAAACTTAATTGGGTTTTTCTGGTATTGGCCCTCCGAATCCATCTTTATTTAAAAAAAAAGGGTTAATTGTGGATGGACCGCCTGTACCATAATCAAATTGAACTTACTAAGCTTGTAGTTCTATTGTTGCAATAGACCCCCTTGAAAGGGTTCTATGGTTGCAGGTAGACCTCCTGACCTATTGTTGCAGATAAACCCCGTGGCCCCTGAAAAGGGTCAAAAAAGAATTTATACTCAGGGGGTCTATCTGCAACAATAGAACTATAAGTGTAGTAAGTTCAATTTGGCTACAGGAGGTCTATCCTCAATTAACCCTCCAAAGACAAGTCCCCCTAAAAAGATGGATTTATGAAATAATTTCTTCTAAATCCTTAAGTTATACCAAATTGGCCCCCCTAGTTAAAATCTGTCAAGGATTTGGGGGGCTTATTTTGAAATAAAAGATGATTTTGGGGACCGATACCAGAAAAAACCCAAAATAATTTGGAAGGAAGAATCGCATATCTGAAACAGCTGAACACCCACCAGTGAGATCTGCTAGAGGCATCATTGACATTAGTCCACGAAGTAGAACGAGCTCGTTTGCCCTTCGTGTACAATCGATATGCTTGTTTGATATCGGATACTGCTATATCCATTAGACCCTCAATTTCGATAGACCGATTACTGCCAGATTGGATATTGAGTCCACTATAACAGAAAAACACGAGAAATCACCAATCAGTTTTCAAGCCAAGTTCCTATAAGAATGGAGCATATATGTTAAGTACCATTTTTGAGAGTGTTGAAGATATCTTGAAGAGTTGTGCTTCAATGTGAGAAGATCTCTAATACTCCCCATGTAGATCTCTAACATACTCATTGAGAAAGAGTAGGATGCTGATTTATCCTGAGAAGCTCGATGAAATAATTCTTCGATAGATCGAGGAACGATACCTGGATTCTCATTTTTTCCTTCCTAGAGATTTATAATGACAAAAAAATCATTGGCTTGAGATTAAATCAAGCGTTTGTGGAATCTGAATTGAAACTCTTGAAATACTAACCATAGTGAAGGTTTTGCCCGTTCCCGTCTGCCCATAAGCAAAAACACACACATTATGCCCATCAAGCGCAGATCTAAGAATCGGTTCTACTTCTTGAAATACATCATCTAAAATTGTGAAATTTTCAGTAAATTAATAAATTAATAACAAAAGCAGTACTTAAAAATTACAATTTTAAAAGAATTTACCCTGTGTTGCTCCCTGAGAGAAAACTCTATCAGCACCAAACTCTTTCTTCGCTCCTCCTGAAGTCTTGACAGTGATCTTATCTTCTTCAATAGAAATGGGTGATTCTGAAGTTTTTCTATCAGTTGAAGAAGAAGATCGAACTCGACAAAAAACCCTGATACTACCTACAAAACCAAGATCAGTTCAAGAATTCAAATCCTATCTTGATTCAGATTGAGATCTATACCTACCTTTGATATCTAAAACCTTGTTGAGTGCTTCTCTCCTTCTCCCATCCAAACTTCTTTGCTTCAACCTCAACGTCGAAATTTCAGCTAAAATTTGGATTAAAACATAAAAGTAAGCAATCAAGTATACAAATCACCAACAATAAGATAAGAAAGAGAAACTTCAGTAAAAATTCTTGCCTTGAAGATTTGAGACAGTGAGCTCAGGGATCATACTAACATCAGTATAAACAACTTTGGGGCATTCCAAGTTGAAATTTTCACTTGGTATCATGATCATTGGTGAAGGATCTTCCATGAACAAAACAAATGCTGCAATCAAAATGAAATCTTTAGAAACCCCACCTGAGTAAACCAACCAACCAACCAAACAAACTTCTGCAAGAAAGCAATGCATTCCTTTATCATCAATACCTTGCTGAAAGGTGAAGCAAAAGCTGAAAGCAGTGGATATTGTTGTAAAGTTTTAAGCAATTATTAGCTTAATAGAATGGAGATTAATAAGAGTGGGGTTAAAGTGGACTAAAAGAAGGAAGCAAAGTCTTTGGAGAGAGAAGATTCCATGCCTGAAAACAAGGAGAGCCCAGATATGAGATGATTAGTTAATAAGCTCAAGGGATGAGAGTGAACAGATTCCTAGAACCAATAAAGTGCTAGTTTTTCCTTTTAACACTTTTCAAGAATCTGAATACTAACCAGATGAGCACTGTTAATTGTGCTATGATTTTGGCATTAGCGTCTGAATAAGGAGGCTAATTCTCTTATTTTGTTGCCTGTTTCAAAATAAAATATAAGGGGTCAATTGAGGATAGACCTCCCGTACTATCGCCCAATTACGGATGGATCCAGGGTGAAACTTTTTTGACTCTTTTACGCCCAGAGAAAAGAATTTTCAATAACAAATAGGCCTCTTATGGGTAAAAGGGTCAAAAGAAATTCGACAAAGGGTAAGGATGTTTCTGGAATAATAAAATTATAGGGTGCCTATTCTCAACTGGGCAATAGCACAAGGGCAATCCACAATTAATCCTAATATATTATTCTCTTGTTTCTATTTTAGGGGAGAATAAATCCTATAGGCCCCGTTTGGCAAAAGGTTAAGGGAGAAGGGTTAAAGAGAATGATTAATATACTTAGCCCATTCGATAATCTGGAAGAACTAATTTTGACTATTTTTTTAGCCCATTCGATAATCCACAATGATTTTGACTATTTTTTTTATAATTAGATGTGTTAACTCTTAATCCTTCTAAATAGGAGTATTAGTAAACCCCTCATTTTGAGGGGTTAACTCATTTTAATCCCTCTAGAGGGGTTAGCTTAACCCTTCTATATTTTTTATGTTTGGCAAATTATGAAGGGTTAACTCACTTTAACCCTTGTATATATTTTTTGTGTTTGGCGGGTTAAGAAGGGGTTAAGTTTCCTTAACCCCTCACTTAACCATTTGTCAAACGGTAGAGGACACTATAGCAAATATATTGGAATGAACAATATCGCCTCCTTTATCAATTCTAAATTAGTGCAGCAAGTATTACAATATCAACGTACTCGAGTATATTACCAATTTTACGTCACTATAATCAGTGTAATCAAACTATTGAAAACAATACGATCACCAACTGTAAAATCTGTGTCGGACACTTCGTCACCATCCTCTTCTTCCTATATGATTTTCTATGAAGTGCCATCTTTAAGAATTATTTTTCCATTTGAGTTAAGATTTAAAGCATTATTTTAACAAGAAAATTGGCCAGCATAATGTGCAGAGCAACTGGCATGGCTGAATAAAGCGAGTATATGATTAGCATATATCCAAACTGTTGGCAATCAGAGAGCATGTGGGTATATGTCTACTTTTCTCTCGTTGGAGTACTGTCAGAGGGGTGGAAGTTGAAGTTTAGTTTTCATGTAAAAGTTTGAATTTTTTGAAAAGAGAATTTTTTGGTGGGTGGTGATAAAGACAGCTTGTGCTTTCCTTTATGGGTTGTTTGGTTCCGGTTTTTGGAAGGGGAAAGGAGGGGGAAAGCTACCAAAATATCAGCTTTTTGGTAGCTTTCCCCCAAAATCGTCTCTTATATATAGAGACGATTTTGGGGGGAAAATGCCAAAAAGCTGACATTTTTGACAGTTTTCCTCCCTTTTACCGATCCAAAAAACCGATCCAAACAGCCCCTTAACGAGCCCTTCTTTGGCATGTTTATTTGCATGTCCAAATTGTACTAATTTACACTTACATCCATAATACTTTGCACAAATAATGAAAATTTCCCCCTTATTTATCATTTTCATGATTTATAGACCTGAAATTCATTTAGTCAGAAATGTATAGTATCAAACTTCCCATAATTTCTAGATTTTCTTAAACACTATTCTTCAATGTATTTATTATTACTTGTTGAGCTTTTATTGCTTGCAATACAAAATACGACGAGTGGGCATATTTGCAGGGGGGTAATATTTGCAAAAAATACAATTTTTTTGAGTCTCTTTCTATTTGAAGTTACAGGGTTTGTTTTGTTGGATGGCACCAAAACTTCAAGTGTAGAGTTTGTCATGGTGTCACAACCTTGGCGTAACGGCAACCTTATAATTATTGTGGTAATAGTACAGTTGCAGGGCGCCCAAATTTGTGCACAGTGGCCTCTAAATTTAAATTTCAAATAATTTCCACCTATGTTAATAGTGAGAGGAAATTGCCACAAATTTGACCACAAATTATATCAACCCATTTAACGATTAAAATTGTTGGGAATTTAACGCCTAAATCCCCTAATGCAACGGAAACGCGGTATAGAGAACAGTACACCAAGATTTACGAGGTTCGGCAACTGCCTACGTCCTCGGGAGCCACACAGTAAATTTCTTATTAATCAACAAGAAATTACAATTTTAGGAGGCAGATCCCTAAACTGGGATTTCTCAATAAACATCTGTAGCCATACAGTGTTAATAATAAACAGGCGTATGCAACCTTTCAATACCACTTAGAATAAATACCGGCACAATCAAACTCCTCTTTAATTTCTCTCTCTCTCTCTCTTAATCTCTCTTAATCTCCCCTCAAAACACCCTTTGAGAGCTGGAGAAAAAATGCGAAATCGCTACTGCGATTGGTGGGAAAACGCTGCTGCGTTTTATGGGCAGTTCGCCGCCGGCCCAGAGAGAAAGAATCGCGAGTGGGAGGGTGGAAAGAATCAGCAACCCAAAAACCTAAGTGGGGTTTCTTTATAAGGCCGGATGAGGAGGAGGAGCTGGCCGACAGCCTGTCGGCCAGCGGCTACTTGGACGCCAAGTTCGCGACCCCCCCAAAAAACGCAGAGGCTCGCCATCGCCAACGCAAGAGCTTCGCCATCGACTGTGCACGCAGAGTTCGCCATCGACGCAGAGCTCGCACATCGACTAGCCAGCCTTCGAACGGAACGCAGAGCTCGCCATCGACCCAGCTTCGAAGAAACGGCCAGCTCGAGGCTTCGAGCTCGTCCTGTCGCCTGGACCTCGCCGCCTGTCGCCTGGACCTCGCCGCCACCATCCTGGAGCTCGTCGGAGCTCCTCCGTCGCCGGAGGTTGGTATCCACCCCCAACCTATCAATCTCCCACTTGGAGACCAAACCGACGACAATCAGGCTATCTCATCAAGCTCCTCTCCTGTGTGACTCCGCCTTCATCATCTATGCATGAAGGCCAACTGAAGTTGCACACAACTTCAGTTTCTGAAAGGTCACTGCCTTTGTCAACATATCCGCTGGATCCTTTCTTCCTTGGATATTCTGTTGAAATCCTTTGACAACTCGTCGGGCTCTGTATCTTCTGGAACTATTCTGCTCCCACTTGTTGTGACGTACCTTCTTCCCCATGGGCAACTCAGCTAGTCCCCATGCCTGGTTGGAGATCAGAAATTTCTTCTCTTCTTTCGTAGCAAACTCCCACTTGCTCGCATCTCCACTCTGACAAGCTTCATCAAAGCTTTCAGACTCTCCTCCATTTGTCAGCAACATATAATTCATGTATCTGCTGTTAGGCACAGGAGGACGAGTACTTCTCCTTAACATCGGAGCTGGTGCGTCGGGCTTCTGCGCACCATTCTGTCCAACAGTCTCTTCTGGCTGAGGATCTTCTGCATTGGGTTCTTCCGAGAGGTTATCCGGAACATCATCTGCATCTACAAATGTTGACTCGCTCTCTGAGTCACCGTCATCTGTTTTGTGCATGTCCTTATACATCACCTTCTCGTTGAATGTCACATCTCTGCACCTGATCACCTTCTTGTTTTCGTTGTCCCAAATGCGGTAGCCGAACTCGTCTTCACCATACCCGATGAATGTGCATTTCTTGGACTTGGGATCAGGCTCATTCCTGCCTTGATCACTTATATGCACATAAGCTACACAACCGAAAACTTTGAGATGTGAGAGGGTTACCTCCTTTCCGCACCATACCTCTTCTGGTATTCTGTGCTCCAATGGAACCGATGGACCTCGGTTGATCAAGTAAGCTGCTGTGTTGACTGCTTCTGCCCAGAACTGCTTCGGTAGACCTGACTGCATCCGAATGCTTCTGGCTCTCTCTGTCAACGTTCTATTCATGCGCTCAGCCACACCATTGTGCTGAGGCGTGCCGGGCACGGTCCTCTCCATTCTGATACCGTGCTCATAGCAGAACTTCTTGAATCTGGTGTCTTCATACTCACCACCATTGTCTGTTCTGAGTTTCTTTACCCTCAAACCGGTCTCATTCTCGACCATGGCTTTCCATCTTCTGAAAGCCTCAAACACTTCTGACTTTTTCTTCAGAAAGTAGACCCATACTTTCCGAGAGTGATCATCAATAAAAGTCACGAAGTAGTGTTTCCCACCAATCGACGCGGTGGTTGTTGGTCCCCAAACATCTGAGTGAACAAGCTCTAGCTTCTGCTTCCTGGGGGGTCTGCTACTTGCCTGAAAGCTAACTCTCTTCTGCTTTCCAAGTATGCATTCTTCACACACATCAATCTCTACTGATTGTAAACCTGGGAGTTTTCTCTTTGTGTGCATAACCTTCATCCCCTTTTCACTCATATGACCGAGTCTCTGGTGCCACAGCTTTGAAGTCTCATTGCCTGCTGCAACTGAGATCGAACAACGTGCACCTGCTGTCATATACAGGGTACCAGTCTTCCTACCTCTGGCAATCGTCATTGCGCCCTTCGAAATCCTCCAGTCATCTCCATGGAAAGTCATCGTGTAGCCTTCACTAGCCAGCTGGCTTACTGAGATTAAGTTCCTCTTCAGGTCGGGAATATACCTGACATCCTTCAGCTCCCATACTGACCCATTCAGCTTAATCTTCACTACACCTTTGCCAATAATGGCACATGCTTGATCGTCACCAAGATATACATTTCCAAGGTTTCCGGGGATATACTTCTCGAGGAATTCTTTCTGAGAAGTAGCATGGAATGATGCTCCCGAGTCCAACACCCAAGACTCCTCCTTGCTCTCCAAAGAGCATATCAGCGCATCATCTCCTCCTGAGGTGGAGGCAACGTTCACATCTGCATTTGCCTCCCACTCCTCCCGTGCACTCCTGCACTGATTCTTGTAGTGCCCGGTTTTCCCGCACTTCCAACACTCGATAGCCTTCGAACTGTTGGGATTTCTGGATTTGGATCTCCTATCATCTGATCCATTTCCTCTGGTTGAACTTTTACCTCTTGACTCTGTATGCAATACTGAAGAG